AGTACTCTATGTAACTATGGATCAATGAACTTCCAGCTTCTCTGGTAAGGATTATGATTGTGCTGCATTAAAAGATATTACTCTTTGTTTATTAATTATATGTTTTTTTTATTTTAAAAGTATTTCTAAAATAATTTAAAAAAATTCTTTGCTTTAATTTTTTTTTATTATGATGTTTTTATATGATTTTGATGTATTGATATTGAAAATAAATCTTAAAAATAAAAAATGTTATTTTAAAGCATTTTTAAATAAAATATATTTAAAAAAAAATTACTATCACAATATTAAATAGTCTATAAATATAAAAAAAAATACCAAATAGACTGTAAATATCAAAGGATTTGCAATAACAAATGCTAAGGGGAGTGTTAATATTAATTATAATTGTTAGATAGATTTGGGAATTATTGGGTCTTCAGATTAATTAATTTTATTAAAATGATATTGTTTTTTTAAATTTTTTTAATATTAACTCGGCTAAATTTGAAAAGATTTTTGTTTTTTTTTCTAATTTTTTCCAATCTAAATACTTTATTATGATGTTAAACTCATTTTTAATGAAGGTGTATCTCAATATTTTTCTTTGTATCTTTTAAAATGGAACCATATTAAATACTTTTTTTAAAAAATAGAAATAAATAAAAGTAATATTTGCAAGTTTAGCATGTTACATCTTCATGAATCAATGCAAGATACTTCGATTTTGTTTTCCTTTTTTCTTTCTATCTCGTATTCTCCACACTTTTTACCTCACCATTAAAGGATTGGTTGTTGAGTGTATTTATAGGTAAAAAGAAAAACTTGTTGCTATAAAGTATCCACATAAATAAATAAATAAAGTATTCACAAGAAAGAATCTTTACTCCATATTGAATTATCCGTTTGAATATATATATATATATATATATATATATATATATATTATATTGGAAAACTAATTGCTGAAGAATATCCACATAAATAAAAATTAAAATTGATCATCGCATAATCTTCGTTAAATATGTTAAATATGAAAGTAATTTTTAAGAAAAATCTTCAATTTATACGAAAGTAGCAGTTTTAGATAATTAAATGCAAGCATAATGTTTTGAGTTTAAAATACATTAAAAGAATGAACTTACTTACTTATTTTTAAAGTTTATTTGCACAAAATTCATGAAGGAAAAAAAAAAAACTTTGTTGTACAATTTATATAGCCCTTTGTCAAACTTTAAGAGTATGTTTGATATTATGATAGATATTATTATTGTGATTTAAAAAAATATATTTTATAAAAAATATTTTTAATTGAAGCTAGTTTAAAAAAATATATGTTTGATTAAAATAGTGATTGAAATTAAAATTTATAATAAGTTTATTGAGGTGTTTGAGATATTTTTCAGTATTTTTTTGGTAAAAATTAGTTAAAAATGGACTATTATATTCCAAAATCTTGACTGATTTTCATAGTTTGAATCTTTACGGATAGATAAAGTGTCATATACTTTGTTTTTTAATAAAAAAATACCATAAAAAAAAAAGGAAGGAAGGCTAGGCAAGTGGTCATGCCTGCGCTTCTTTGTATTGGACATAGTAACACTTATGCATTCACCTATTTTTTAGACAATCATTTAGTTTTTTTTTAAATCCTAATTTATAAATAAAATAAAATAATTTATATTAAAAATAGTATTTCAATAAACACCATTCAATTTTGCTTTTGTTTTCAAGTAAGACTATAAAATAATCTTTTGTAATATTAGGAAACATTTCATCAATTATCATATACGAATCAAATGAAATCTAAAAACATTATAGACTTTGATAAAATAATGAAATCTAAAATCAATGAAATTTTAATAAAAATATCAAGAAAAAAATAAAAAATAAAAAGAATAAGGATCGAATTAAAAAAAATAAAAAAATTAATAACAAAAATAAAAAATAAAAAAAGATAAAAAAAGAAAATAAAAATAATCACCAACAACAAACCGTTTATCTTTTTTGATCATGAGCTACATCAAGAGAAAAAAAATGCAGTAATGCTTTCAACTATATGCTAGAAGGGTAGATTTAGCCAACAAGAGATGCTTAGCATGTCGCCCAATAACATAATAGTAAGGTAGGGTTGGCCAATGAGATGTGTTGAATGGATCACTCAAAGGGTGTTGATGTATGAAGAGCATACGACAATATCTTTTTTAATTTAAAGATTAATTATTAAACGTAGAAAGATTAAATTGTTTTTCATGAATATGGAATAAATAAATTAGCCTATGTAAAATGATAAAAATACTCCTGAATGTATGTTTTATTTTCTTATTTCATTGCCAATTTTTTTTAATTTTAATAAAAAAATAAAAAGACATAAATATTGTTGGTCAATAATTATAATTTTCTTTATTTGGGATCATTTTTAAAAGTGAAAAGACACATATATCCCTTGATAATTTTTTTATGGCCATTGAGCCACTTGAAAAATACCAAATTTTCCTTAATATCAAGGTATCCTATTTTTTTTTTAAAAAAAAACAATATTTCACTATAACAATGAATATATTTTTTGTGTTTGTGTATAATGATTTTCATGTTTTATAGTTTTTTGTTTAATTAATAGTAATTCAGTTTACATTCTGAAGAATAAAAACAGGGGGTTTATAAAAACAGGGGGTTTATAGTTAGTTCTTGATATTACATAAATTCACAATATCTACTGCAATACCAAACACACCCTACATAAAATTGAATAATTGTTCATATATCAATCAACTTGAACATCAGAATTTATAAGTTCCACTGAAAAATGGAAGAAAAATATAAAATCCAATCATTTATGCTAAAAATCTCAATTAGCAAAGCTTTGAAAAGGCCAACTATCTTGACAATGAGATTCTCTCTTAATTACATATTAATTTTTTTAAAAATCATTTTAAAAATTATTATTATCTTATCAACAACATTGGTTTAAATTAAACGTCAAATGAATAATAATTAAAGATTCTTGTTTATAAAAAAAATATAAAAATAAATCTTTACTTATTAGACATAAATAAAAAATAATATTAATTTTTTAAATTTTTTTAAAAAATTTCATTTATAAATTTGCATACATTCACCCTGTATCAGCTTGGGACCTCATATCTACCATCTAACACTTAGTTTTTTCATACACTCTATTTTGTACGTTCCATAACATTCCCATAGACACTCATTAATGAATAGATTCATGAAATAAATAACCAGAAAATCAACAATTTTTTTTTTCAATGCCACTTTTACCATGCCGGAATAATTCATGACTTTTTTATCCCTAATTTGAAGCACAAATCTTAATTAATAAATAACTAAGTTTTCTGTAATAAAATTTATTAGTGTAAACTATGGTTATCAAAGTTGATCACCTGAAAAAAAACAAAAAAGAGTCAATTCTGAATCAATTATTTTTATTAAAATAATAGTTTTTTTATATATTTTATTAATCAATCTTTTATAATTAAACTAAAAACTTTAAAATACATGAAAAAATCACCTTGTTAATACTATGTATATAAAATATTTATATTGTGGAACACATTGTAGATATTTAGAAAACCATGAAGATATTGTCTTTTTTTTTAAAAAAAAATTATTAGATTTAACATAACCATCAAATTCAATGCTATTGGATCTGGCTTGACCATTACACCTAAAAGTTCATAATAAATAAATAAATAAAATTTTTAAAAAATTAACTAAGATTTTTGTTAGGTTACTTTGAAGATAATTGAAATATATTTTTTTATAAAAATAAAAAAATATAAAAAAATAATTAGTATTTCAATTTATGATTCTTAAAGGGTAGTTTAATTATTTTTTAAAACAAATAAAAAAAAATTAATTAGACATGGCTATTAAATCTAATACTTTTACGTCTGCTTAATTGAATGTCAAACTCAAAACTCTTAAACTTGATATGACCATCACAAATTTTTATAATATAAAAAATAATATTAATCTATTATGGAGCACAAACCAATATACTAGTAAAAGTTAATTGAGGTTGGATTCTACTTGTTTGAAATTGTAGTTGCGGTTTCTTTTCAAAGTTTTTTTTGTATTGAAATATATTAAAATAATATTTTTTTATTTTTAAAAAATTATTTTTGAGATCAACATATTAAAATGATCTAAAACACATAAAATATCAAAACAATTCAAAATATATAAAAAAAATAATTTTTAATAAAAATAAAAAATTAAAGTTTTTGAAAATACAGTTTGCATCGCATTCCCAAACGATGTGATGCGTTTTAAAAGTGCTTTTGAATTTTTTTTTTTTTTTTGAATATTTTCATATCATTTTAATATATTAATAACATAAATAATTTTTTTAAAATAAAAAATATTTTTTTAAATTTTTTTTAAGTAAAAAACATAGTGAAAAACAAATGCAACGTTTTCACAGTCTAATCCCATAATCATAAAGGGTAGCATGGTCCAAGACAGAAAAGCGAAACTGGAGCCCGCTGAAAGAGGGATAGCGGCGGAATTTCAGAGAAAGATTTGAATTTTAACGTACCCTCGACAAAACCAAAAGAAGCCACAAAAGGAAACCTCAGAAGACAGCCCATGAAAATCCACCAGCTAAAACTAATAAAAGTAATATTAAACTGTAAAAAACTGAACCCACCAACTAAAACTCACTAAGAACCAATCTTTAATTTTGTTCCCAAAAATCTGATTGTTTTTCAAATTCTTGAGATTTAGAACCTTCTGTTTCTTGATTTGTGTAAACAAGGAAGTGGAGAGAGCAGTCCCTAAAAGAAGAAGAAGAAGAGGTAACTTTTTGCTTTTTTACTTTTATGTTTTGTTTATGCTGTTTTGAGGCAAAATTTGAATGGCCCATTTTCTAGTTTGAGTTATTTTGTAGTAATTTCACTGCTAAAGCAAAGTTTGGCCTTTGGAAATCTTACTTCAGGCTTAAAGATTTGATCTTGGAGGAGATTTTTTGTTGTATTTTAGATTTATATGTGCAATTTCTGATGCGGAATCTCAATAAGTTCTTTTTTTCTAGTTTAAGTTGCTTGTCATTTCTATCAAAGCCTGTTTTTCCTCTGATTCCGCTGAGCGTGGAATTATATTTCTGGTTTGGATGTTGATGAGTCTATCACGAATCTGATAGTTGAAGTTAACAGTTCTCATGGAGAGCCCTTCGAATTGGCAACAACGGAGAGCCTTTGTTAGGTACTGAAATCATTGCAAATGACAGAGTAGCAACTCAGTTGTGGAGATGATATATTTTGATAATTTCGATCCCATTTGATTGTTTGGTTTCAGGTCAACAATGGGAAGAAATCTGAGTCCAATACTGCGGCAAGAATTGGCAAATCTTGACAAAGATGCTGATAGTCGTAAATCAGCAATGAAAGCACTGAAATCATATGTGAAAGGCTTGGATTCTAAGGCAATCCCACAATTTCTTGCTCAAGTTTCTGAAACCAAAGAAACTGGGTCTTTATCTGGCGAATACACAATTTCACTCTATGAAGTTCTTGCTCGTGTCCATGGAGTTAATATTGTAACTCAGGTTGATAGTATCATGGCTACCATAATCAAAACTTTAGCATCAAGTGCAGGATCTTTTCCTCTTCAACAAGCATGCTCCAAGGTGGTACCAGCAATTGCAAGATATGGGATTGAACCAACGATCCCAGAGCATAAGAAAAGGCATATAATTCACTCGCTTTGTAAGCCTCTTTCAGAAGCTCTCTTAGGTTCTCAAGAATGCCTGACTTCAGGGGCTGCCCTTTGCCTGAAGGCTCTAGTGGACTCAGATAATTGGCGATTTGCTTCAGATGAGATGGTGAATAGGGTTTGTCAGAATGTGGCTGTTTCTTTGGAGGAGAAGCCCACGCAAACTAATTCACACATGGCCCTGGTAATGGCTTTGGCAAAGCATAATGCTTTGATAGTTGAAGCATATGCGAGACTCTTGGTACAATCTGGATTGCGCATCTTGAAAGCTGGGGTCTTAGAGGGTAATTCTCAGAAACGATTATCGGCTATCCAAATGGTCAATTTCTTGATGAAATGTCTGGATCCTAGGAGCATATTCTCAGAAATTGACTTGATAATTGAGGAGATGAATGAGTGCCAGTCCGATCCAATGGCATATGTGAGTGGAGCTGCATTTGAAGCCTTGCAAACTGCAAAGAAAATTGCTGCAGAGAAAGGGTCAAAATTTGAGAAGAGTTCTGGTTCAATTACTGGATCAAACCTCGGCAGGAGAGACCACAGAGGAAGGAGAAATTTGTCCAATGCCTATGGTGATCAATCTCCAGCATCTATATCACCTGAATCACAAACTCTTGATTCCTTTATGGAATATGAATCTTTCATTGAGTCACCGATTTCGACAACTAATACTTCTTCCAGTGAGTATGACCGTGGGAGTGTGAATCGGAAACTATGGAGTTTTGAGAATGGAGGGGTGGACGTATCTCTAAAAGATGGTTTATTTTCAGAGTTGTCTCAGGGAAGTCCCATCCACGATGCATTCTCTGATCAGTCTGGGCTACATGAACTTAATGATAACAGAGGAAGTTGCGCGGGTGAATTTGCAGGTTTCTTGCCTAGAAGTCCTAGAAATGGACTATCGAGGTGCACCACTCCCAGTCCTCGGGTATTTTCCGAACATATGTTTCATAAGTCACTTGTTTTTTGTAACTAGGGATTTAGGGCAGGATTGAATAGTGGTAATGGATTTTTAACCTCATGTTGCAGAAAATAGGTACAGTGTTTATTTTCCATTAAAATCATATTTGAGGAGGGTATTAAACTGGCAACAACATTTTCTTAATACATATCAAACAGCTGGAGAACCAGTTTGGAGGATTTTCGCACTATTTCTCATTTGGAATTGGCTTTATTTTCTTGTTTCATTGTCGTGAAATGGATATATTTCCTCTTTTGCTGTCAAGTATACATTAAGCCATAGCTTATAAAGGTTGCCTATGTCAATACAGTGATCATACCTTCTGAAGGAGACTAGAATTATTGCCGAGATTCTTGCACTACAGCTGCACAAATTTCTTATTTACTTCTGTTTGTAGGCCTGCGCTCTTTTTTTAATACCAGTTAAAGCATGAGATACATCAACATTTGCCAATCAAAACAAGTTTACTTGATGCTTGAGATACTGGTTTTTGATTGCTAATATAGATTGCATTTCATACCTTTTTGTGTGTTTCAGCGGTCACGCTCTCATATAAATGTCGACAACGTTAGCATCTTCACAACTCCCAGGAAGCTCGTACACGCTCTCCAGGATCCTAATGATTTGGATTTAGATTTCTCTGAGAAACAGAATAAAAGGTTCGGAAGTCCATGCTCGTGCAAATTTGATTATAGGCCCACCCTGAGGTTAAAACAAAATGGCTTTCAGCAGGATATGGGTTCGGAGGTCAATGAGAACGGGGGTATTTTCCGAACATATGTTTCATAAGTCACTTGTTTTTTGTAACTAGGGATTTAGGGCAGGATTGAATAGTGGTAATGGATTTTTAACCTCATGTTGCAGAAAATAGGTACAGTGTTTATTTTCCATTAAAATCATATTTGAGGAGGGTATTAAACTGGCAACAACATTTTCTTAATACATATCAAACAGCTGGAGAACCAGTTTGGAGGATTTTCGCACTATTTCTCATTTGGAATTGGCTTTATTTTCTTGTTTCATTGTCGTGAAATGGATATATTTCCTCTTTCGCTGTCAAGTATACATTAAGTCATAGCTTATAAAGGTTGCCTATGTTAATACAGTGATCATACCTTCTAAAGGAGACTAGAATTATTGCTGAGATTCTTGCACTACAGCTGAACAAATTTCTTATTTACTTTTGTTTGTAGGCCTGCGCTCTTTTTTTATACCAGTTAAAGCATGAGTTATATCAACATTTGCCAATCAAAACAAGTTTACTTGATGCTTGAGATACTGGTTTTTGATTGCTAATATAGATTGCATTTCATACCTTTTTGTGTGTTTCAGCGGTCACGCTCTCATATAAATGTCGACACCGTTAGCATCTTCACAACTCCCAGGAAGCTCGTACACGCTCTCCAGGATCCTAATGATTTGGATTTAGATTTCTCTGAGAAACAGAATAAAAGGTTCGGAAGTCCATGCTCGTATATGTGGATCTCATGTCTTTTTGTGTCCGAGACGCAGGAAAAAAAGAAGCAGCATTTTGCTGCTTTGTGTATACTGTTCATGTTAATTTTAATTAGCATGAACAGTGTAAGAGATTTGCACTATTTACTTGAAAAATAACAAACAGTACAATTCTCTTTTACTGTTCAAGAGTAAATTGCACTGTTCATATACTTTTTTTTTTTAAGAGTGTTAATTTTATTAATATTTTTTTTAAAAAATTAGTTAGAGTAAATTAAATTTATTTGCACTGTTATTAAAAAAATGTTATAATGAAAGCTTAGATATTAAATGTGGTTTGGTTGACCTAATATAAAGGCCGGGTCTTGAATTATACCGATTAAATTAAAAACATGTTTGAGATTTTAATATTTTATATAAAAAAATACTGCAATACCGAACACGCTCTTACTAAATGTGGTTTGGTTGACTTAACATAAAGGCCAGGTCTTGAATTATACAGATTAAATTAAAAAATATTTGAGATTTTAATGTTTTATATAAAAAAAATTATAATAAATGTAAAATGTGAAATGGTTTCTCTTCTGAACAAGGTATGTTGCCTTTTGTACATCCCTGGGATCCATCTTGAGCATAAAAATCAGATGAAAGCGCAAACATGTTTCAATGGTACTCAGAGATTTGGATTGTGTAAATGCTGACTGCCAGTCCATGCGTCTCCAGGATTCAAAGTTACTGGTCTAAGCATGGCTGATTGGCCTACACATATAAAAGAATACATGCCATAGCTTTCATGGCTTGAACCAGGACTAAATATGTATAGTTCCTCGAACCCCTCCCTTCCTACAACAACTGAGTTTCTTCTGCCCTGTTATAGCAACGGAAATGGAAAAGGAAAGCATTTGTAAGCGAGCAGCATCTGTAAATGTGGAAACCAATATTGAAGTACAGCAATAGAATCATTGGACATGAACTTTGGGTGTCAGCAATCAAGAAGTGCATATAGGAAATCATAGTATAGGCAGTCACAGCTCCAAGGAAGATCTAGACATGTAACATGTTGTGCTGAGAATTTGACAACTACTGAGCTTGAACTAACTTGAATTATTGAAAATGAGAGTCGATAAGAAAAGTACCCTGTCAATGATTGTGAAGTCTCGCGGTGCGCTGGTGTAAATCCTGCTCATTTCCTCAGTTAAACTCTTATAATTTTCTTTCTCTTCACCCTCCATTTCTTCGCTCTCTAATAGACTATCGTTTCCTTTATCACCGTTCTTCTGGTTTCTTGCATCCCAGCCTGGAAAAAAACCATTGAGCCCCAAATTGCCCCACAGTTGGCCAGAACCAAATCCACGTTTTTGGCTGAGGTCAGAAGGAACAATGCCGAAATTTGATAAGAACACAGGCCTGTTATAGAAGTCCGATCCCTCTAATCCGTATGCAAAGGTTGCTTCTGGTGTGCTTACTGTCAGATGGCTCATGATGCCGCCCCTCATTTGGATCGATGAAGATTTTAAGTTTGAGACAGTTAGCTCTGAACTTAAGGTTTCTTCACGGAGACTCAAGATGTATCTTACTTCAACCATATCTCTTGCATCAGTGCTTACCATTTCAACCTGCATTCTTCAAGTCCATATTTTAAGAATATCCCAACAACTCCAAGCATCAGGAAAAAAAAAAAAACTTCAAGAACAAACAGGCAGAAGTTACAAGACAGGTTCAAGAGCACTTGTGGACCAATTGAGAAACCTAGTCAGTTTTTGGGATATTTCAACCTATTCTTGTTTACAGATTTTGGTGTCACTGCAATTTGATCCTTCACAACCAATCTTTGTTACAAGTAAGAAACTGCATACTTGATAACATATCATGGTCTAGCAAATTGTTTGCAACGCCATTAAAGAAGGCGTTAGTTCTTTGCCATCACATAATACGACACTGCAGAATTAAAGACAGACCTGGATAGTGTCATGAGAATCTCCTCTAATATCCTTGAGAGCCCAAGTACTTGGAGACCATGAAATTTCACCATCACTGTCAAAGTTAAACGCTGGAGAGACCCCTCCTCGTATAGCAGCACTTCCATCCTCCCCCTCCAAGACTGATGTTTGCAGCAGCTCAACTGTACCTCCATGCCACATGCGAGCCTTGTATGATGTGATTAAGCCGCTTGGTAGCATCAATGTGACGCTGCTCCCATTTTCCACCGTCATCTTGGCAACGCAGCTATCACTAAGACGTTCGAAAGTGACTCCATGGCCACTGAATTCTTCTTCCAAGTAGTCTACATTGATTGGTTGGTATGGAATTGAAGCCACTGATGGAAGTGGGAATCCTCTCTTCTTGCTAGAGTATTGAAGAGAACTAGAGTGAAGATGAGGGTGGAAGTTAAATAAATGCCTGTTGGTGGGACTTGTGCAGGGGGTAGAAGTGAAGCTCAGTGAAAAAAGAGAACTCAAAGCCATACTTGTGAAAAATATCTGGCATCATCAAGCAGAAAATGAAAAAAGCTGCTATTCTATTGCACATAATGGAGAGAAAAAGGGTTAGGCCCACTTATCAATGTATGGCTGGCTGTTTGGATAATTTAGCTTCAGTTTTTTGGTTGGTTCTATTGAAAACTACATAGATATTTTGAGACTTTTTGACAAGTTCATCTTATTTTACTGCTATCTAAATGCCAAATTGTTGGTCAAGTATTGAGCCTTATCCTTTCAGATGATGGGAGGGAAATTGCTCCCTTTTCTTTTGCCTGATTTTTTATTTCCTTCTCTCTATCTTGGTCATATATTCCAAATGATGGAAACACCCTTGATGCTTATCTTGTGTAAATTGTAAAATCAAACTCATCATATTTTACCAGGCATATGCTAAAAACACACATCTAAGCTGTATTTGAGGCCTTGTTTCTCTCAAGCCTCCGTCAACTTTCGATTCAATCTTTGCAAGCACGGGCTTGAGCATTCTAGTTATTTTTTGTTAGCATAAACCATACAGATCCTTCAAGAAGTGATGGGCTATTATGACATTCATTGAACAGTATAACTGCATGATTACAATATGATTTTGGAAAGAGCTAAACCAGCGACGAAGGGAAAACTGAACAAGCTAATGGAATACTGATTTTGAATTTGATATCAAAATTTGTAATTACAAATTATCATGCTCAATCATCTGTGCCCCCTTCCATTCTCCACCAGGTTTCACAACGACAGGAACCAGCATTGCAGCAGGGCCAGTGCAGATAAAATAGTCCTTGCCATACTTTTCTGCCAACGAGCCCGGGCTGCCAATGTAGATATCTTCGAAACCAATCCGTATTACCCTAAAGAACAGCTCTTTTCCCTGAAATGAACCGCTGATGTTACTCATTAATTTTCTCAGTTGCAGATGATCTTATGACATGAAAAGACAACACGCACATGGAGTTTAATCAAAATATTCTGTTCACAAGTATTTGGATAAGAAAAACCAAACTATCTGTTTACTTGAGTCAATGCGTATTTTAAACAAGAAAAACTTCATTCACAAATCTCCTGTCATATCACTTGTATCTGTGAAATTTTGCAAGCGAAGATGATAAAATTTCTATTTGTGTTCTGATTTATAAAGCATTTAAGGAAATGGATGATTCTGAAAGTGATGAGCGATAGGTCAAGCTCAAAACTTTCCCAACGCTGAATTCATGTGCTCTATCTATATGTTAAGAGCTTATATCTTGGGCTGGAAGTAGACGTGACAAACGCGTACCTGATCAAGCGTTTCATATTTTGTAGGTGAGGTGTTATAGAATGCTTTTAACCTCTCTTGCGGTGGAGCAGCATAAACTCTACTAAGCCTATCCTTCAAAATTATGTAGGGCTCCTCTTGCACTTTCCATGATCCTGGTTTCTCTTCGGGCTCAAAATCAAAATCAAGCAATCCCGGAGACTCCGGTTTCAATGCTTCCGATGGAGATAAAACTTCAAAAGGTGAAGATAAAGGAGGCTGTGTGCAGTAATTACATTTCCTCAGTCCTTGGATCCCTGCCTTTGCTCGCTTTTTGAATTTGAGATGACTAAGTATAGCACTAGTTAGAGTCACATCCTTGCGACCATTATTCTTTACTATCACTGCTGATGCCATGCTCAGTGGATAAAGGGAGACTACATATGATATTTCAAGAGGTCCACTGCTGCAGCTCAATTCGACCTGCAACGAGCCAGAAAAAGAAGCATGACATTTTCATTCATCGAGTACAAATTGATCCTAGTTTTCCAAAAGAAAAGCAGACTGCTGCTTTGATTTTACAATCCCCACCCCACCTGTCCTCTCTTTCTCTTGCCACTGAACACAGGAGAAATTGATTGATAAAAGAAGTTTAGTTACCGTGAAAATAAATGGATTCAGGCTCATGAGTCCAATAAAAAATCTTGTTTACTATCATACAAAACTTGAGGGGAACAAGAGGCTTAAACTGTACAGCCCCCTACGTTATCCCAAAACTAACGCCTTTTTCATCCTTGGAGCTGACCCTTTTTCCCTTTCCAAAATGAAAAATTAAAGACAAATTAATTAATAAAATTGTCCCTTGACCCTGTCCTTAACTTGTTACAACAGTCTAAAATTCAACCACAAAAACATTAAAATTAGCTTCCTTCAAAAAGAACCCGATTGCTTCGGGCATGTACTGGTTTCAAGAACAAAGACAAAAGCTGGAAAAGAGTTAAGGAACCAAGCAAATACCTGAACAGCATCAATGGAATCAGAGTCAACATCCTTTACAGTCCATTCAGAAGAAGAAATGAGTGACCCTTTGGAACCACCTTCAGAGGCATCGTTGATGACCAAACCAATTCCGCCTTTAGCTATACCAGAGTCCTTTTCCTTACCAGGAAGGGTATAAAGAACCTCCTCAAAGCCATCATCCTTCCAATAAACTTTTGGCTTGTAAGAACTCACATGAGCATTAGGTATCTGGACCCTCACAGAGCTGCCATTTCTAACTTTTAGCTCAACAGTTGGAACATTGTTGGATTCCAAGAATTTGATACCTTTTCTACCAAACTTTTCTTCAAGAACCTCTGGAGTTGAAGGGCTGATAGTTGTTTGAGATAATGAAGTAGCTTTTATAATGCTTGGTTTTGGAAGAGAGAAGGAAAGAAGAGAAGCCATGGAGAGGGAGGAGAAAAAAGCACTCTTTAAGAGCTCCCACACACACCAGTACCTAGTTTGCTAAGCTCATCCTTCACGAATTATTTTTGTTCGGATCTGTATTTTGGCTTTTATACTTACACTTTTTTTGCCCAACACTGTCTGTCAAGTGTACCGACTCTACACCCTTAATTTTGTGCCACTGTGAAATGTGATAACGCAGATCTTCTACAAGCATAGATATTTAGACTTTTGAACAAAGGAGGGTATATCGTAAAACCAGAGTGGTAATAGCCACCTCTTGCAGCTCTCTGCACCCTGGTGAGTTTCAAATTCTTGCTCCAATACTTCTAGGCAAACAGAAAGGGGGGCAAAAACACCCAGTCCTGACTCCTACAGTAACTTTCAGTCATGGGCACTTCACTTTTTTTTTTTTTGGTGAGACACCTTTTATAATAATAATAATTGTTTTATTTACATAATTCAACGATTGTCTGCATAAAATAAAATAAATTCGATCACAGTAATGGTTACTTCAAGTCATGAAAGGAAAACACAACACCCATACATACCAAAGTAAGCAACAGAAGCGCGAGAGGATGTGCTCGAGTTTCCCCAGACATGAACATGCCTTTAACATGGAAACACGAAGAACATACCTTGTGCTATACTATGATTTTATATTATTAGTAGATAGCCCAGAGTCAGAATCGGAACACTAAAGAAACCAAATTCATTCACTGCAGATGAGGCTCAAAGCAAGGAATGCAAACACCTCTCAGTAAAAACTACAGGGAACAATTTCCAGACCATCATCGAAACCAACCATCACATCAGCTAGATTTGAAGTGGCATATACATAACTTCTCTTTGACTCTAACAAAATTGTTTTTAGAATAAAATTTTGGCATTCGAAGGAAAATAAAGGATACCAAAGCAAGTTAAAGATCCTGCAACAAGATACAATCAAGACAAAGGGGAAATAGCCATGTGCAAAACTAATCTTCATCCATCCCTCCAGGTGCTGCATCTCTCCTTGGACCTCCAGCTGGTTTCGCCATTATAATCTGCATGGCAGAGAGGGCAAAATAAAACAAAGTAAGCTAAAGTCACAAATCAAATTCATGTCAATTCCATAAATGTTGCTATCAAATCAATTTCACTATTATTTCATACAGGAATAATCGACCAAATTCTAAGCTGAAAACAGACTTGAGAGTAAAATGTTTATTTAGTCAAGAACATGTTTATATTTTATTTTTATAAATTGTACCCTGAAAAGATGACATTACAAAACCTAAACTGAGCAAACAAAGTTGCTCAGGAAACTTCAAATCACAAGAAAATGAGATGGATCAGCATGAAGTAAAATACCTGGTCCACTCGCAATACAGTGCAGGCAGCATCTGCAGCATATTTGAGAGCAAAAAACCTGTACAAAAGGGGGGAAACAAGAAGAAACGTTGACTTGTATTTTATATAGATAAGCAAAAGTTTTAGCTTGATAAATGATTGCTCCTCATCAATAGTAGTTAAAAATCAATTACTAGAATCCACAATATCTGATCTGATTCTGAAAATATAAGTTTTCGTTGAGTACCTATAGGATTGTCTAAAAGGAAAGAAGCCCTAATATTGACAATGGGTTACAATTAAAAACTAGCAACCAATATCCTGTGGAAGAATAAGATCCTTCTATCCTTATTTTTTTTCCTGATAAAAGATTCTGCTATCCAGCTTATAAATGAATCATGCAAAATATTTTGGTTTCAAAGATCCAAATCCAATGCATGGCTTCTCAATTCATCCTACAATCCATGGTCATCTTCTAGCTACACAACTAAGCCTTTCAAAACATAGCATAACAGGACATGGAAGAAAATAATGACTAACAATCACAGTGGACTAAAGTGCAATGTTACGTACATGAACACAAAAATAAACAGACTATGGAAGTCAAAGAAAAGGACAACTTAACCAAGGAAAAAGTTCTGTCAAGCCCTAAAATGCAACAAGCGTAAAAAAACAGCTTGGCATGCAAACATTTCACAGAGAAGTGTGAATGCTACAAGATAAAGACAGAAACATACTTTGTAACGTAGAGGTCCCAGATTTTCAGGGTTGATACATCCTTACAAACACCTTCCTCTAAGTCAATGCCCACTTTGATATTTCCAGAAGCATGATCAGCATAGAGGGAGGATATGATCTCCATTGCATTGAGACCAGCATTCTCAGCCAATGTTTTAGGTATCATCTCAAAACTTTCAGCAAACTTTGCAATCGCATATTGATCCAATCTGCAAGATAAACAAAAAAAAGCATATCAACAGATCATTCATGTAATGTCATTGTCTTTACACCTCGAAAACTTGTTGGGTTAAACAACAATCACATTTATTAAGAATTACAAACACAACTAATACAAAAGGACAAGAATAGAAAGAAAGCACTTACCCTGTTTCTTTAAATGAGAATTCCTTGAGTCTTTTGGCTAACTCAATTTCAGTAGCTGCCCCTCCAGGTACTATTCGACTGTCCCTACACATTGCCTGGAACAAAATGTACAAGTTTAGAATTCACTTCCTGCAACCAAACTCTCCACTGGAATGTTTAGAAACAATAACCTTGTAAGTATTGACTCCATCATCAACAGCTCTTTCAAGGTCATCTAGTATACTATCTGTACTTCCTCGTAACACCACAGTGCATACAGAGTTGCCACCTTCTTCATTTCTCACAACAGTGACCTGTTTCATATAATTCATACAGAGTACCGGCATATCATTTCAAGAGCGAAAAGGAAAAGATGCAAGACAAAAGAAAGAGAAAAATCTACAGTCAAAATGATAGAATTAAGGTGATTCTAAACATACTCTAGCTCCACCAATTTCCTCAACAGAAATTGAATCTACATATCCCAAGTCATCTGGGTTTGGTGGACTCAGCTTCAACTGTAGCAACAACACAAAAGAACATCAGAATTCAACCAAAAGAACTTTTGAAAACAGCACAAACAACTATTTCTAACAATACAAAAAAAAGTTCAAATAGAAGAGAACGCACAATAGCAACAGCACCAGTGGTGCGGCAAAATCTTCTCAGTTCAAACTTTGAGCTGATCTTCAGAACCATGAGTCTACAAAAGTTATAGGTGCAATGAAAAAGCCACTTAAGCAACCCATTAACAGTGTTACAAGCAAATGAAATGCAGCATAATATGACCTTAATTTGGTAAAAATACTATCCCACAACCCCTATAAATGGATATATTCAGAGGAAGTAAGAAAACCACAAGGAAAAAAGCTTATGTACTTGTAACGTTCGCAGAAATGCAATGCCATTTCTCCAACAGCTGCTCCGCTAACAATTACTTTGGCACCAGAATTTGCCACTGCTTTAATGAGCTCCTCAACCTTGGCTTCTTCAGTTTTTGCATAATTTTCTAGCTGTAGGGTTAAAAGTAGGTAGTTGGTAAAATATCCAGTTGACCCCTATCTTCATTAACTTTTTGAGTGCTAAATATAAAGCATCATGGATATTAAGCAGATATATCCCACAACATTGCAAAGAACATATAGAGAACAACAATAAATGCAATTGCTTCCATACCTGCTCAGCAGAGTGAATTAGGACAGTTCCCTTGGTTTCAGTTGCCGAGGTATCAACACCACCAACAAAAACAGCAACCTATGAATGCACAAGAAAAAATAATTTATTTGAAATTGTTAAATCACATGATAAAGAAGTCCATTTAAACAAATAACAATAAAAGAAAACATTAACAATTTCAGAGCAGCTTCAGATTAAATGCTATAAACCAGAAAAATAAAGAACAGATGTCAGCTCACCTTTGCCTTCTCCACTCTCTTTATGGTTCCCACAGTATCACCTTTCAAAACCATTCCGCGGACTGTTGAAGAATTGTTCAAACCTCCTCCCACGAGCTTTGCAACCCGCACATTATCCACATTGAAGTTTGCTGGGTTCTTGGGACACACTTGAATGCATGCCTACAATGCAAGAAAATAAGAGCACAAAAAAAAAAAACATAACAAAACACCAAATAGAACAACTGACTAACAATTAAAAGAGAATAAATACACTTACTTCAGAAATGAGATTACATAGAACGTCTTCTTGTCCGAATTGCTTGCTAGCAACAGCAGCTTTCATACGAAAAATAACTTGCTCCTTGTTCCTCACATCCATGTTTTCAGAACCTGGCTCCACCAGTTCGCCTAAGATTTCAATTGCCTAAGAGTGCATTTGCAAACAGGGAAAAAAAATCATATCAAGTGAGGAAGGTATATGCAAGGTCTCCTTGACACAACAAAACAAGCCATTTAAGCATATTCATCACAGAGCAAACATACCTTGTCAATTGATTTATTGTAACCACTGATGATCTCACTAGGGTGAAGGCCCATCCTAATAAGCTCATCTGCGTTTTGAAGTATCTCTCCAGCAAAAGAGATGGTCAGGTTAGCTCCATCCCCAATTTCCTCTTGTTGGGCCTTGCCAGCTAAGACCAAAATTTTGGCAGCTGGATGCTGAACCTCAAGCTCATTTACAATAGTGGCAGCATCATTGGTGACAAAGAGTTTGTCCAAATGGTTAATAACCATCTTATTCATACCTAATCACAACAACAAAAAACATTAGCTTCAGAATAATTAATCCATGAAGGACGAACCGAAAACAAAAAAAAAACCCTAGATGTGAGAAAAGCCATTTGGTTTCCAATTTGGCCATTGAATCCCTAATCTATAGACCTAAATCCCAAATCTTTCCAGCCCTCAATTCAAATTCCACGTGCCAAAATGTATTAGTAGTGCCCAGTTGTTGCTTACTCTAACTTACAGATTTTCCATTCTCTTTCAAAACAAATAACACCAAAAAGTAGCAGAAACCCTAAATCAATAGAAAACCAGGAAAAAAAAAAGATGGGATTTTCTTTTATTAAAAAATAAAGAAAGTTACTTTCTGGATCGAGAAAAGGAAGTACCATTAGGGCCGAGAGAAGTGCGAGTAATGGTAGACAACTGTTTACAAGCATCAATGTTTTTGAGAACAGCTTCATCGAGACCTGATAAATGCTTGTGTCCTTCCTTTAGCATTGATTGTATTCCGTATGGTTGCATAGAGAAACCCATTGTTCTTTCTCTCTTCTTTTACTTTCTTTCAAACAGAAAATAACTCAAAACCCTAACCCTAGAAAGACAAGGAGAGAAACCTGAGATGAGATCAGTGTGAGTGTGATGTTCTGTTGTGTGTGCAAAAAGATGGAGGGCGTGAAGAGTGCAAGAATGCCCTAGAAATCTTAATTTAAAAAGATTCTATGAGGTCTTATGCCGTCGTTAGAGTTTCTGCAGATAGACGACTTGTCGTTCATCCTTTGAAGAACGGAGAGCGATACGTCCTTCGTCCGTAAAAAGGAAAATATTATTTATTTTTATAGTTAAATAATTGATAGATCCACATAAAGGATGTGGGCGAATGAATTATGATCAACTCGAGATTATTTTTTATTTGTTAAAATAGAGTTTTTTTTTGTTAAAATAGAGTTATTTTATTATTTTTAAAGTTATTTTATTTTTTTATAAAAATTATTATATTAATTTAATTAATTGAGTTTAATTAAATTAAATATATCACTAAAAACACTGTAAAGTTAACTAGATTTAGTTAAGTTTTTTTTCAATTTAAAATATAATTTAAATTAAATTCTAGACAACAGATTTTCTAGTTCAACTTATTAGATTAGTAGGATTTAATAATTGTGTAATTAAATTAATTTTTATTTTCAGAAGAAAAATAAAACTTCTTATAATCTTATCAACATGCATATTTTATAAAATTAATAAGGGTAATTTTATGAAAATTCTTTTTTATGAGAAGAATCCTACACACTGACTATATGCATTTTAAGCATAGAATTCAAAATAAAGACACTATTATGAGCGATTTAAAATTAATGTATATTTATTTTTTTAGTGGACATGGCCTAATTGTATGGTGAAGAATACAGTGAAAGTTGTATTTTAAAGTGTTTTTTTATTTATAAATATATTAAAAATAATATTTTTTAATTTTTTTAAAATTTATTTTTCATACCAACATATTAAAAATATTAAAAAATAATTTTTATTAATATTTTTTAAAATTTTAAACAAATAATATTTTGATGGCAATATCATACATGCTTTAAATACATTATCAATAGATTTGTTAGTATTTCTTCAAAAATCCACATCCATATATATGAACTCTGTATCAAAACATTTAATTTGATAAAAATACCTTTAAATTTTACTAATCATCACATGTATTTAAAGTATTTTATTAGTAATTAATAAACATATTGTATTACTTTAAAAAATTCTAGATGCTAAAATAAAATAAAAAACTTATCTCCAAAATAAAGGTTTTTTATATATATAAAAATGAAAATAATACCAATACTAATATATAAATTCAAACATATCTCTCAGAATGAGAATAATATATTAATATAATTCTCATAAAATAGGTTCATCATGTTTTTCTAATATATGATATATCACGTAAAACTATAAATAATATAAATAAACTTCTCAAAACATCCCTAACAATATAGTATATCACCGGATTTATTTATTTTTACTATCCAAATTCTAAAAATGCTAAAAAATGAGTCAACAAAAACAAATAATTAAAAGCTAAAAGATACTAAAATTACATTTAATTGTATTATGCTATTAATTAACAAAATCTTTAATTATTTTCTCATATTATCTTTGACTTGTTTTTATAATCATTGCTGATATTAAAAGAATATTTTTCTAAATAAAGTTATCTTTGACTTGTTTTTATAATTGATATTAAAAGAATATTTTTCTAAATAAAATAATTCATAAAATTTCTATTCATAACTATAATTTTTAGTTTTTATTCACCCTATATAAAATTAAAACTCAAAAATAATAAAATAAAATTAACATTAAAAAATTATTAAATAAGACCTCAAGTATTTTTTATTTGAAACTCTTGGTTATTGACTTAGACTATCTTTGCCTTTTAATATAAAGTCGTTTGTAATTTTTTGATAAATTTTAGTTATAATTAGCTATATGACCCGTGCTCTCTCATGGATCAAATATTTTTAATTTTATAAAAGATTATTTATGTAAATTTTTTAATATATTTTGATAGTTAAAAAAATATAACAAATCAAAATATATATTTTCATGACAACTTATTTATTAAACCTAACCTGGAGGTTGACCCAGCCAAAGGATCTTGTCCTAGATTATATAGGTTGACTTGAGTCAAACCAAAAAAATTAAAAAAAAAGTAATGTTTTAATATTTTATATTAAAAAAATAAAAAATAATCCATGTGAATATGAGTTATATATGTAAACAATTAAGTTTGAAAGATTACCTCAAAATATTTTTTATCCTACATTGCAAAGATACTATTTTATTATTTTAAGTTGAAGCATTTAAATCAAAAATATTTTTTTTATTCTATATTAAAAAACCATAACTTTTTTCTTGTGAATATAGAACATATATACTAAAGGGTGTCAAATCTCATATTGAAAAAATAAAAAAATTCTTCAAGTATTTATATAGTAAACTTTAAAATGAGTTAGTAATCAATTGAAAAATATGAAAAAAAGTGGGGTCTGTAGGTAATAGAAAAAAAATCCAAAAAAGGGACTCCATTAGGTTTTGCTAGGTCTCCCGAATTTCGGGTTGACCAGACGAGTTGACTAGTTTCCCCCGACCCAATTGCAGACTTGAATTTCAAATGAAACAAACCTGGCTAAATTTATTAATTATTTTATTAATACTGTTAAGTATAACAAAAAAAATAATATTTCTAAGAAATGTTGTTACTCAATTTTGGACCCTACGTGCTGGAGACAATGTATACCTCTTTTAAACTAAGTGTAAGAGTTTAGCTCATGTTTGTTAGAAGATTAACAAAAACTGAGAAAGAAATATTTTTCTTGAAACCTTGTTTTAGTTGTTTTCTACTCTTTTTATCCTTCCTCTTTGCTATCAAAATCGTTAGGTTTTCTCAGACTGATCAAAAGTCTTCATAATGCTAAATTTGTTTCTTTTTTATCTGGTCTTTAAAGTTGGATAAATACCTCAGAATTTGCACTAGAAAAAAGGTTATGCTATTGTTGTAATTTCTTGTTCCAACTTAGGCTCTGATTCTGACTTGGTTTCGTATGATATCTGACCATTCTAGCTATATTCTATCACTTATGACATGTTGAAAAATTGATCTACACCTTTATTAGGTCCTAGGGATCATTGTTCTTAGGGCAAATTCTCAAGCAGATTTGGATACTCAGCATTGTCAAATCACAAACCTTTTTGACAAACTAGATTACTGCCATATTCTGTTCTCTAAAACAATTTTATCTCACTTTGAATCCATCATCAAAGTTGTCCTAGACGTGTAAATAAATTTAGGCTTTTGAATCGCTTGATTTTGATATCAGAAGCTTAAGATATTCCTGTTTGAAGATCTAATGTGAAGGCAGAGAATTCTACTGCGATAAGGATTCTGACCCGAGTTTTGCACTATAAGACTCTATTTCTATCAGAGTTGATTTGTTCTTTAGATCATACTCTCATATTCGGATTCTGGGTATTTGTCAGTTTCTAAATTAGATTAAGAGACCCTTTTGATCAACCAGATTATTGCCAGATTCTGTTCTCTAAAATGATTTTATCTCACTTTATCTCCTTCATCAAAGTTGTAGTCCTAGACGCGTGGATATATTTAGGCTTTTGAATCTTTTGATTTTGATATCATAAGTTCAAGATATTCCTATTTGAATATCTAGTGTGGAAGTAGAGATTTTTGCCGCAAAAAGGATTTTTTTTACCCGAGTTTGCAGCGACACAATTGCAAGATGCTTAAAGATTGAAGACTGATTGCAGGTCAATTTGAATCCTTTTTGGACCAAAGACCAAATGGAATAAGTGCTAAAATAAAGAGGATGATTGAAGATAAAAAAAATAAAAAGAAATTCTCCTGAAGGAAGACATTGAAGAAAACATGTTTTTACCTACACAGCTAGCCATTTTCTTTCTTTCCTTTTTATCTGAAATTTCTTGTTTGGTTTCTATGTTTCTCTTACTTGAATGGAGAGTTACAGATCATATTTTTATTGCTTCATTTCAAAGGGAGCAGCAGGCCCTATGAAAGGAAAGAAAGGAGCCACATTATCCTCTAAAAAACTGGAAAGAAATTAGACATGAGCACAAAATCAAAATCAGAATATTACAATTTTCTTTTTGCATTTTTTTATTGTAAATCAGTGGGGATTTGCATCCTAGAATTAATGCATTAAATCTTTCATAAATAGAGATACGTTAGACTATATATAAGCCCTTCTAATGACCTAAGAAAGGGAGGAGAAAACAGAGAAAGAGAGGGTAGGAAAAATGAGTAAAAAGAAAGAAAGAAAGAATACAAAAAAGAGGCAAGCAGTAAAAGAGAAAAGAAAAGACGAAAAAAAGAGAGGAGAAACAAGGAAGAAGCAGGGACTAACTTTCGGTCTTTGCTCCATTCTTTCTATAGATAAAATCTACAGAACAGAGAAGAAGAAGGTGTAGAAAACTAGAAGAAAGAGAGGAGATCGAAATAAAGAAAGGAGAAAGGAGTCTCTCTTTGGATACCAGAGCGAGAAAGCAGAAGCTCTATCCATCAGCTCGTAACTCATCTTTGGCATTCAAAATAAGCAGGGATTTGCAAACAATGAGGATTGAAAGAGTCGTGGTCACTAGCGGACTAGGTAAGCCATGTCTCTACTCTCCTAGTTTTTTTTGCATTTTGCATGTTAAGACATTGTGCATTCTTAGTTTGCACTTGTTACTGTTTAAGTGAAATTTAATTCACTTGAATAGTAACTAGGGAAGGATTAATTCACTTGGACATGTATTATTATTATTATTATTATTTTATTCCTAGCTTTTGCATGCATTTTTAGTTGCATTTGTTACTGTTCAAGTGAAATTTAATTCACTTGAACAGTAACCAGGGAAGGCAAAATTACTTAAACATGTATTTTTTGTTGTTGTTTTTTTATATAAAAAATATCAATCTCGTATTTACAATACCTAGTTTTCAACACCATATGACACACACTTTTTGCTTAATTACTCATACAGGAGTTGCATATGGCCAATACCCTAATATGTTTTAAACGCTCTATTAAAAGTTTCAAAAATATGTTTTCGCATGGATTTCTTAAGCATAACAAAAATTATTTTCTTGTATTTTTGGATTTTACAACATGTTTGTAAAACTCCA